ACAATTGAATTTTAGCATGCGTGTAGCATCACAATAAATAGATAAATTGTGTCAGTTTCACAAGGCACGTTTCTGATGTGTCGGGCTTGTTTCAAACGCCGAGCGCATGAGATGAAATGCCTTTGGTAATTGTTTATTTCGTAGTGCTAGCGATCAGCTTTTCTAGGTTGTCGGCGAACCTATATAGTTCTTGCAGTGTCTTTTTCAATTTGAAACTTCACACTATCCTTGGATCCCTAGTTCTTTTGTTAGTTTGTTCTTTTGTTGTTTTAATTAGGCACAGAGGTGAAAATATGCGATTTTGACTAACATTTTTGATCGGCCTCGTACATGCTTATTCAATAGCTAAAAGCCTGATCTTTCCGAATATGAAAACTAATTGTTCATACGCCGAGTGGTTCACGTATAATAGCGCGCTGAAGTTCGATTACCTAACGGGTCGTGGTAGAATTATAAGCTCTTCTGATATGTCTTCTGACGAAAGTCCTTTGCTGCAAAATTATATATTTTTTTTCTCGTTTGGATTCCCTGATGTCTCCGTATTCAGAGCTTTTATATTTGTATAACTATATATGCACAAAAAGTGGGCCTGTTTAATTATCTATTAGACTAAAAGAACAAAATGAGGCGTACATTCTTTAGAACTAGGTTATAGTTAACCAATAGTTATAGTTAACCAATCGCAAAACCTATTCAAAATTTCAAATATGGTAGGTTTGTGGTGACTGCTTGGCGTGGCTTAGCACTTCTAGTGATATTTATTACGTGCAAGTCTCAGCCCAACTAATGTTATTTACTCTTAATTACTATACTACTACAAAGGGTTGGATTTGGAGATTGATCAGCGATCCCGTAATACCAGAAAGATTTTGTTCAGGATCATGGGATGGTTACATCAAGCTGTGGGATCTTCGAAGCACAAAATGTGCTGGATCTGTGTGAGTAGATCGAAGATTTTAATTGCCGTGTACTTGATCTAGGACAAACCTTTGTACGTACTTGCGACTCAAGGTGTACTTAGCCTTCAAGATAAAATGCAAATCTTCAAAGGTATTAATCCATATGGGTTAGAGTAAGAAGAAAAACAAATGCATATACAGTGCCGACCCCATCAGTCCAATCATGTTTTATGCGAAGACTTGAACTATGTAGCTCAGTGGTCAAAGCGCTGCACCGGCATCTCAGGGCCGCAGGTTCGATTCCTATACCGGTGGCCTAAAGTTTCATTTTTTGAAGCTGCTCCTGCTTATAGGTAGAGATCTGGAGTATACTCTATCGAAACTGAAATATGATTCCAAGGTTTGGAGGACTTCCTCAGTACTCCGAATACAAAGAAAAGAACGTCGCCATATTAGATAATTGAATAATTGCCACTGCCGTATCACCACCAGAATCATTCGTATACCACCATGATACTGAATGTTAGTACCAAAAGTTGTTGAAAACTAGTTTCTCATATTCATTGAAAAACGTAGGAACGCATTTATTTTCTTTCATTCCTTATGTAGAGATCTCCGCACACATCCAATTTGCATGACATGGAGAAGCAATGACACGTTAGTTGCTGGCTGTTTTGACAAGACTGTTCGACTTATTGACCCACGAAGTATGAAAATTTAATTTGTATAATTTAAAAATAGTTTGACGTAATCCTCTCTGATTTTCCATATAGTGGATTTTATCTTTTATAACAATATCTGCCCGATGTCTAGTTTCAAAGTAGGCGACTGAAAGAATAATTTATGATTTTGATCAACATCTTGTCTGTCTTACTCTTTCACTGAACATAGTCTTAATTGCATAAAAATAAGAAGCCCAGGTGTTCACTCCGGCTGGGAGCGACATCAGTGCATACTGCGCATAAAATAGGCACAGAGTATTAACACAAAGATTTACATAACTCAAAAGCAGGTCAGAAATTCGAATTAGTTTTCAGTATCCAACTGGGATACCAGAGTTTAAAGTTTTAGTATCTGTACTTCCACGTCTGGGTACTAGTTATCAAACAAAATACTCGTGACCATTCTGTCAGCTATCTCAATGTGATTATTGGGGGGGGGGGGGGGAGAGTTACCTATATTCCCATAAATAATGCCAATGGCTGGTCTCGTCTTTGAGAAAACCCGGACTTGACTTTTGAAAACCAGGACTCGAAACAAGGACTCTGTGTACGAGAATGGAACAATAATCAGTATGCATCTTTAAAGGGGAAGTCAAGTCCGTTCTGCGCATCGGTTCTGCTCATAACAATGTGAGGACCTCATCATGAACATTGCCCAAATTTCGAATGTTTCGAATTTTTCTGAACATAAACTCTATTTCATATTCATTTAGAAGCATAGCGAACCAAAATGGTGTTAGATATTCAGACAGTATATCATATTTTAAAAAATACAGCAGTTCAAAATGTAAACAAACCGTTTGTTTACATTACGGACTTGACTTCCCCTTTAAATAAATTGCTAGAGTAATAACTAAAATCCGTCTAAGTAGTCAGGAATGTCTTGTCTGGAAACGATTGGAACAATTAAAACATAACATTATTCACAGCTGCCACTATAGCCTAGGCAATTAGCCTCGGCAATCTGATTATTGAAAATGGCGAGGTATATTGAGAACGGTCTAACTTGCATCGGTAAAAAATGCCCTATTATATTTCACCGAGGCAAAATAGTTCAACTTCAAATACGAATAAGAGAGTACGGTGTTGAAAAGCATTCATTTTAATGTGAATCAATAAAGATAGAAACAAAAATGACCAACAATTTGTCTACCAGGGAAATATGTTGAACAGGGGAGCATTTTCAGTATTGAGCCGCGCAGGGGCGTTGGAGCGGCTCTAAAAGTGGGGGGGGGGACACTTAGCACCCTAGGGGGGTCTGGGGGCAGGCCCCCCAAAAGTTTGAAACTAGAGTCTCTGAAATGACATTTTCTTCACTTTAGAAGGAGATTTACAGGGTTCTAGGTAACAAAATGTCATAAAATATCTCAAATTGTTTTGTCTACACGCGTAACTGAAATAATATCAATTAACTTTGTGGTTTATTATTGACCATTGTTAAAAAGGGGGGGGGGGGGGCCAAAAAACTTTT